AATGACGACGAAATCCAGGAATTCGAAGATGAGATTTTAGATGAGGTAGAAGAACCTCTCTACAATCGAATTGAAAGAATCTCCAAGAGAAGTCAAAATAATACCAGTAATCAGAAAAACTGGTATCCTCAACCGTCTTTTCCGGATATTCAATTCGAAGAAAAGACTCTACAAACTCAAGCTCATTACGATGGTCTAGCAATCTATGAAATGATGATGGATTTCCAACTATCTGATAATGAATGTTGTCAATGAAATGATGATGGCCGCAGGCGCGTATAAATTATAGGGCCATAAGTCCGACCATCAAATAGCTCAAGTTTTAGTGACTGAATTTACAGGACAACTCAAGGACTGGTGGGACAAATAACTCGACGAAGCAACTCGCCAACAGATATTAAACCACTATGTCGTTAGGCCAACTACTCAAATCATCAAAGAAGAAGGTCCATCAACTAGGACCGAAGTACAACATGAAAGGGTAGAGGATGCTGTCAACACCCTCATTTATACCCTTATAGAATTCTTCGTGGGCAACCCCTTGAAATACCAGGAAAGATCCGCCGAAATACTCATGAACTTGAAGTGCCCCACCTTAGGAGATTTCAGGTTGTACAAAGACATGTATTTCAGCAAAGTTCTTATTAGAACAGACAATTCGTTCGAATTCTGGAAAGAGAATTTTATCAATGGACTACCAAAACACTTCTAAAGAAGGATTAAAGACAGTCTTAAGACAAAGTATAATGGAACAATTCCATGGCAGACTTTGTCGTACGGATCAATAGCATCCTTCATCATAGAAGAAAGACTCAGACTTTGCAATGAGTCAAAGATTCAAAATAAGTTCAATTCTTCGATATCAAATAGAAAAGAGCTTAGAAGATTTTGCGATCAATATGGATGCAATGGGATAGAGGCCCCCTCAACCTCCAGAAGAAAGAAGGTTAGGATGCATCCAAAGCCTTATAATTCGTACAGGCCTAGAGAAAAGTATCGAAATAAACCCGTGCAATCTCAAAAGCCAACGAATTTAAGGAGAAAGAATACTCCTACAAAAACCCGTAGAGCAAAGAAAAAGAAAACTTGCTTTAAATGTCGAGAAGAAGGACACTATGCTAACAAGTGTCCGATCAAAGGAAAGATTAATGAGTTGGATATAGATCAAGAGCTGAAAAATCAGCTACTACGACTGGCTCTAACTGACTCAGAACAATCAAGTGAGGGAGAAATCCTCGAACTCCAAGAAGAATCCGATTCATATTCTAGCACAGAATATGAATCAGAACAAGAAGGAAAGAGGACGTGTGAAGGATGCATAAACATTCTTACAAAGGATCAAGAAATTCAACTTGAGGTGGTAGAAAAAGTTCAAGATCCAGAAATTCAACAGAAAATTGCTCAACGACTCAGAGATGCCATGACAATCTCTAAGCCACCTGAAAGGGAAGAAAGAAATCCCTACAGACTTCAATCAGTTCTCCAAAGGTTTGAAAAATCGAGAGAACTCACTACTCAAGACCTACAAAGAGAGATTAATAATCTCAAACAAGAAGTGTAGGCATTAAGATCTGAAACCAGGTCAGAATCATATATGCTTCGCCAAGAAATTCTCAATCTTCACGAAAGGGTGCCCGAACAAAAGAAAACGGTGCAACAAAACCTGGATGAAGATGATTTTCAAAGTTCCTTCGTTGTAGCCATCACCACTTCTCAATATCAAAAATGGTACGCTCTAGTTACCTTGAAAATTTATGATTTCAAAATCACACTAAAGACTCTCATAGATACTGGAGTCGATCAAAATTGTATTCAAGAAGGCCTAATACCTACTAAGTATTTTGAAAAAACTATCGAAGGCCTTAGAGGTGCAAATAACAACAGACTCAAAATTAATTACAAACTATCAAAAGTCCATGTTTGTAACGACGGAATTTGCTTAGTAAATTCTTTTAGTAAAGGACTTAAGACAAGAACTAATCCTAGGTACCCAGGTACCCCTTTCATTACTCAATTATACCCCTCTTAAAATAACTGAAGAGGGATTAGAGTCAAAAGCCTTAGAAAAAAAAGATAAAATTTAATTTCTTTTCCCTATAAAGATTAGTGAAATAAATAACCTTAAAAAGAATACAATTATTCCATCAATAAATGTATTAAATTATAAGGAAAAACAAATTTCTTTTCCGAACAAAGAAATTTCATTCAAAAGAATAGAAGAACAGCTTCAAATTAGAATTTGTTAAACTATCCCTAAATGCCTTTTGGAATAGGAAGCAACACATAGTTAATCTTCCTTGTGTCAAAAACTTCGAGGAGAAAAATATTCCTATGAAGGCCCAACCTATTCAAATGAATAAGGAATTATTAGAGGAGAAAAATATTCCTATGAAGGCCCAACTTATTCAAATGAATAAGGAATTATTAACATTCTGCAAAGCAGAAATCAATGATCTTTTGCAGAAGGGTCCTATTAGGCTGTCAAAGAGCCCTTAGTCATGTGCGACTTTTTACAACCAAGCAGAGAAGGAACGTGGAGTACCGCGACTGGTAATAAACTACAAGCCCTTAAATAAGGTTTTGGAATGGATTAGATATCCAATTCCAAATAAATCAGATTTAATGCAAAAAGTTTCAAATGCTAAAATTTTTTCAAAATTTGATATGAAATCAGGATTTTGGCAGATCCAGATTTCAGAAAAAGACAAGTACAAAACGGCTTTCAATGTCTCTTTCGGACAATACGAATGGAACGTTATGCCATTTGGGCTAAAAAACGCTCCATCCGAATTTCAAAAAATTACGAATGATATTTTCAATCCTTCTCAAGACTTTTCAATTGTTTATATTGACGATGTTCTGATTTTCTCTCAAAACATCGATCAACATTTTAAACATTTTCATCCCAATTTCAAAAAACTCTCCATCTGAATTTCAAAAACTTATGAATGATATTTTCAATTCTTTTCAAGACTTTTCAATTGTTTATATTGACGATGTTCTGATTTTCTCTCAAAACATCGATCAACATTTTAAACATCTTCAAGAATTTTTGGCAATAGTCAAAAGAAACGGTTTACTTGTATCTAAACCAAAAATAAAACTTCAGACAAGAATCTATTTTCTTGGGTTTGAAATTTATTTAGGTCTAATTAAACCCATTCAAAGATCCATTGAGTTTGGCTCAAACTTTCCGGATCAAATCACCGATAAAACCCAACTACAAAGATTTTTTGGATGTCTAAATTATATGTCTGATTTCCTTCAAAATATCAGGCCCATTTGCAAATCACTTTTTGAAAGGCTCAAAAAGAATCCGAAACCTTGGACGGAAGAACACACCAAAACAGTCCAAAAAATCAAATCCCTTGTCAAATCAATTTCGTGTTTATCTCTGATAGACCCGAGGACTGGTTTAATAGTGGAGACCGATGCATCCGATATCGGATATGGAGGAATCCTAAAACATTGACAAGAAAGAATCCATTGTTCGTTTTCATTCGGGAATATGGAATTCTACTAAAAAAAATTACTCAACAGTAAAGAAAGAAATACTTTCAATAGTACTTTGTGTACAAAAATTTCAAAGCGATTTAATTAACAAAAATTTTGTGATCAAAACGGATTCTAGGGCATCTAAGTTAAGAATCTTGTATCTAAACAAATTTTTGCTAGTTGGCAAGCCATTTTATCTTGCTTCGACTTCCAAATTTTGCCTATAAAAGGGGTCGAAAAGTCTTTGGCGGATTACCTCTCAAGAGAGTTCTTACTCTCAAAGAAAAACTCTCCCTAGCCAAGCTCCTTCTCCCAGTGATGACCGGTAAGAAAGCAATAGAAAAAGGGAAGAAGCCCATTGCTTCTTCAAACACACCTACTCCAAACAAGTTAAATGACTTAAAGATCTTATATGAAACCTATTTTTGTGGTTAAGAATTATTGTAAAATATTTCAAAATAACCCGAGAATGTTTAGGCCCCAAACAAAGGCCTGCGAATAATGACAAAAATATTTCTTTTATGTGCTTAAGATATTTTATGGCTAAAATAGACTCCAAATGACTTAAGAATCTATATTATGGATAATTTTAATGATGTTAAGATTTCATCCTAATTTGATCAAGTTTGGATTCTAAACCATGATTGGGGTGGAAAGAGACATAAATACATGTAGAATCTCATGATGTTTCTAAGTATTTAACGAACTTGAAATGATATGAAATTTTATATGAGACTCGTTTATGAAATTATAGACGACTATATATCACTTCAAATTTATTTAACGACCAAGTATCATGACTCATGACCCGTGATTTAGGACTAAGATCTTCATGAAACGAAACTATGATAAGCTCTTGGTCAAATCATAGAGATACTACCTTAGCACCCACCATGGACACGATTAAGAACCGATAAATAGGCTACAAAGAGCGGCGACAACCTTGTTTCTCACAATCAAACATGATCTCAAAACTACAAAGAATTACAATAACTTTACCATTTATCATGGTAACAAATGTGGTTTCAAAACTACAAATACTTTGTCATCCTTATTCTTCATGTTATAAATGGGTTGTATAAATGAGACAAGTAATCTAATCAAGTATAATTCATGGAGAAGAAAATCTCTACGGTGTTATAAAATAATAATATGGAGTTCATGAAATAACATAAAATATCAATTTATTGCACATCAAAAGTAAACCAAGGCCAACACTAGTATATTTTTGTTTAAAAATATAATTATTCTTAATGATCCTCAAATGAAGGAGGGAAAAATTAGAAATTTAATAGTCAAACATTCTATACTTGGAATACTCTCAAACCCACAAAATTTAACACCCTTTCTAAATTCGGTGGTCTTTTCTAGATATAGTTTTCCCATCAAACTATATATAGGGCCTCACGTTGTAAGAAAAATCCAACCACCCACATCTTAGCAATTGCTACTCTTCATCATTTGTGAAACGAGCTTGTAACCTTACAACTTTAAGACACTCCACAATGGCCGTAGGCAAAGGTTTCAAGCTCTTTCATACCCTTTTCTTAGTGATTTCTTGGCAATATTGTGCGAAAGTGGGTGCCACTTTTAGTGATGTCACCGGTGTCGTAAATCTCGATCATCAATTTTCATTTCGTGCCTTTGCATCACATGACACACAAGCACCAGCGGTAGCACCAATCGGAAGTAGCACAGAAGTCCTAGTTGCTGCACCGTTTGGAAGCATCACTAAAACTCCTAAGGCTTTAACCCCAGAGGCTGCATCAGATGGAAGCATTGCTCTAACCCCGGAGCACTAAAACTCCTAAGGCTTTAACCCCAGAGGCTGCATCAGATGGAAGCATTGCTCTAACCCCGGAGACTCCATGGGATGGAAGCATTGCTCTAACCCCGGAGGCTCCATGGGATGGAAGCGTTGCTCTAACCCCGGAGGCTCAATGGGATGGAAGCGTTGCTCTAACCCCGGAGGCTCCATGGGATGGAAGCGTTGCTCTAACCCCGGAGGCTCCATGGGATGGAAGCGTTGCTCAAACCCCGGAGGATCCATGGGATGGAAGCGTTGCTCAAACCCCGGAGGATCCATGGGATGGAAGCGTTGCTCAAACCCCGGAGGATGCATCGGATGGGAGCGATGCTCAAACCCCGGAGGATGCATCGGATGGGAGCGATGCTCAAACCCCGGAGGATGCATCGGATGGGAGCGATTCTCAAACCCCAACCGTTTCTCAAACCCCAGAGGATGCATCGGATGGGAGTGCATCAGATGAAAGCGTTGCTCACACCCCAACCGTTTCTCAAACCCTGGAGGCTGCATCAGATGAAAGCGTTGCTCACACCCCAACCATTGCTCAAACCCCGGAGGCTGCATCAGATGAAAGCGTTGCTCACACCCCAACCATTACTCAAACCCCGGAGGCTGCATCAGATGAAAGCGTTGCTCACACCCCAACCATTGCTCAAACCCCGGAGGCTGCATCAGATGAAAGCGTTGCTCACACCCCAACCATTGCTCAAACCCCGGAGGCTGCATCAGATGAAAGCGTTGCTCACACCCAAACCGTTGCTCAAACCCCGGAGGCTTCATCGGATGGGAGCATTGCTCTAACCCCGGAGGCTGCATCGGATGGGAGCATTGCTCTAACCCCGGAGGCTGCATCGGATGGGAGCATTGCTCTAACCCCGGAGGCTGCATCGGATGGGAGCATTGCTCTAACCCCGGAGGCTGCATCGGATGAGAGCATTGCTCTAACCCCAACCATTGCACCGAGTGGAAGCGTTGCTCTAACCCCAACCATTGCACCGAGTGGAAGCGTTGCTCTAACCCCAACCATTGCACCGAGTGGAAGCGTTGCTCTAACCCCAACCATTGCACCGAGTGGAAGCGTTGCTCTAACCCCAACCATTGCACCGAGTGGAAGCGTTGCTCTAACCCCAACCATTGCACCGAGTGGAAGCGTTGCTCTAACCCCAACCATTGCACCGAGTGGAAGCGTTGCTCTAACCCCAACCATTGCACCGAGTGGAAGCGTTGCTCTAACCCCGGAGGCTGCATCGGATGAGAGCATTGCTCTAACCCCAACCATCGCACCAAGTAGCACACAAGCTTGAGAGTAATTGTTAAGCATGGATGTTTCTTTGGCTATTCACAAAGAAAAACTTATGCCAAAGAACTATTTTGTGGACAAATTCATTATTTCTACATTTTTTTTCTAAATGGAATGATTTTCCTACCTTTTTCTCTAACTATCTATTTTAATTAAAGATATTTTTAAAATTTAATGAAACACAAGTTTTTATAGACTTCACAATCTACTAAATGATACCATAACCAATGAATAGACACTATAGTGAAATCTGTAGACGCGCTCCTCTTAGGAACTAGTACTAGAGCATCTCGATTTGATTCGAGGTGCGGCATGTCATATTATATTATAAACAAGTTCTATAATATAATTAATTCATGTCTCTTACATCAAATTAAAAGAACTTTCTTTGGTTTTTAAGCAATTCTATTTTATGTTTAACAATTTTGGCGCTATATTATCATCGATCTTAGTAATATTTTAATGAAAATGATTATCAATATAATGAATTAAATTATTATAATCTTATAATAATAAGATTTTGTTATTCAAAATAGAGATAATGATTCAAATCTAAGACATTAGTCAAACCTACATTAGTCAAACACAAGATTCTGGTAGAAGTTTTGGTCAAACATTTTATGAAAAGTTAAAGGGTAAGACTGTAAAATAATTGTGTCTAATTGAAAAGTCATTTCTCTCTCTTCCATACATATAGCAATAAGAGAGTGGATTCCCATAGCGTAAAATTTTTTTTTTTCGAAATAAAAAAAATGAAAATTTCAACTCCACAAAGATAAGCTAGGGTTGTAACTTTGTAAGATATCATTTTTTTTCTTCGACAATTTTACAATCCAAAACTGTCGACATAGTTCATACTCCTTTATAGCTAACGACAATTGATACATTTGTAACTATTTTAAGTGAAGTATTCCTCCGCCACTAAGCCTTGGCAGCGATGGTTAAACAAACTAAGATTTCAATTTGTGATTCAAAGTTGAATTGTTTGTCAAGAGATATAATGATTCAAAACTAAGCATAGTTCAAACACAAGATTTTGTGTCGAAATAAGGGATGGTTGTAATTTTGTAAGGTTTCAATTTTGTTCTCCGAAAATTTTGTACAACTGTGACTAAGCTCTGCCATCTGACTCAGTTCGCTCCTTATTTACCGCCACCGTCAACTGATACATTTGTAACTTCTTTAAGTCGTAGTGTTCCTCCGCCGCCATCGAGTCATGGCAATGGTGATCAAACAAACTAAAATTTCAGTAGCGTATTTAAGAATTTAAAGATAATACATGAATTTATGTATAAGAGAGATGTCAATTTTTTTTAGTTTAACAATATGTTTGGCCATGGATTAAAACAACATTTTAATCTATCTTTGGCAGACAATACATGCTTTATACTTGATGAGGCATGTTGATTTCAATATTTTCTATTTGTTTCTTATTTTTTACGGTCATTATCATAAATCAACATAATATTGATAATGAATATTCGGGTATATATTGAATTGTGTAAAATATTTGTAGCAAACTTTAACCCGAAAAAATAGTACACTAATAATTTTACATGAGATGTTTTTTTTTTTTTTTTTTTTTTTTTTTTTTTTTTTTTTTTTTTCT